TCACGCTCATATTTCTCAAGTGTACGCTTATCGACCATACCTGTTAGGTACATAATCTGACCACCTATTGTTGATTTACCAGCATCTGTAATATAATTATTATGTGAATTAAAGCCATGTAATAGATTGAAATTTCAGAAATGTATATGTAAACACTTGGGTTGGTCGTTTTTTTTTTACTAAATCGCGTGGTATTTCCGGATTCTACAGATAATTCTAAGCAAAAGTGTAGAAGAAACCATGGGTCGGAAGTTAATTTCGAGCTTGCGCATTTTCGAACGAAAAAAAAAACCTTTTCACGATATTCAAATTTTTTCGCCTTTTCTTAAAACTTTGCATATAAAATGATTTTAGTTTCCTACATTCGCTTTATTTGTTTATTTATCCAGAAGTATTTTAGCAAATATGTACAAATATTCATACTTTCCAATTTTTTGTTTTTTTGTGAAAAAATAAATTTTTCTTTTAAAAATGCGCGCTAGAAACTTATTTCCGACGTATAGTTTCTTCTTTTTTCTCTTAGAATTATATATAGAAACCGAAAATACCATCCGATTTGCCGAAAAACTTTCGTCCGAACTATTTGACCAACCCTAGTATATACATACGTACGTAATAGGGTTAAGGTAAGTGGCATACCTACCAACATGTCCAATGAAGACAACATTTACATGTTCTTTTTTACTACGCGATTCCTCAACTTTCGGTGTTTTCTTCTTAGAGACCTTGGGTGCAATATCATTTTCTGCGTCTTCAATACCATCGTCAGCTTCCTCTTCATCCGGAGTTATAATTGGATCATCCTCAATATCCCAACTATCAGCTGGGTCATTTTCTGTAGAAATAGAAATATTGTTCAGCAAAAATTATTAGAAAAGTTTTATAAGTTGTATATCATTACTTAAAAACATACATAAGTAGTTTTACTAAATAGGTACTGTCTTTTTAATGTTAAAATTGGCATAAAAAAACTCACTTTTTCTAATCAAACGTAGCATTTTGCTTGTGATTGAGGTACAAAAAAAGCAAACATAAAAAATACAACTAAATTTTTCTCTATTTACACCTAACAAAATTAATGAGAAACTATGAATTTTCTTTAGGTCTAAGTTAACCCTCCGATGAGTGACAGTGCCGATGACGTTAGATTCGTGAGAAGGTCCTTAGGGACCTACAAAGAGTTGCTCGATGTTTCGACTGTACATGTGCAACTTCTTTGGTATTTATGTTGTCTTTTGATTAAATTAACGTCCTGAATATATATTAGGAATGAAATAATTTGAAGAACAAGTGAAAAAAAAATCAAAACATGAAGACAAGTAACTTGTTATTTCTTCTAAAATTGTACAAGGTCCCTAGGGACCTTGTCACTAATCCCCGTACTATATATGTTGAAATCTCAATAACACTCGAACGTGATCCCGTATCCCTTCGAAACTTATTTTAAACGATTCAGCTTAATTTATTCTTGGAATACATGTATAGATTCTTTTCAAAAATGCAAGTAACTTGTTATTTCTTCTAAAATTGTACAAGGTCCCTAGGGACCTTGTCACTAATCCCCGTACTATATATGTTGAAATCTCAATAACACTCGAACGTGATCCCGTATCCCTTCGAAACTTATTTTAAACGATTCAGCTTAATTTATTCTTGGAATACATGTATAAATTCTTTTCAAAAATGCATTGAACAAAAAGATATAGGCGCATGAAATACGAAAAGGTCCCTAGGGACCTTCTCACAAATCGAAGGGTTAATAGAAACTTTATTACAGTGACGAACCACATGCAGCCATCGTCTGACTGACTACCATGATACAATCACCCCTATGCTGTAATCCGTCGTACTGCCGTCCCTAAATTGGAGCGCTAAGCGTTGCGTTATCCATTGTCGACGAGTGTCAGCGCGCGCTATCCCCAAATCAACGCGTCGTAATTTTTGACGTTTTCTCAGATCCTCTCGTTTTTATTCTCGTTTCCTCTTTCACTTTTTTGTCCTTTCTCTTTCTTTCCGTCTTCCGCATCCAACTTCAACACGTAACGCCCTGTCAAAAATGAAAATTCCATTTGCTCGGCGTTAGCACCGCGTTATTGTGGGATGCTTCATACAAATTGTATGGGCATGAGGATTTTTGACAGTTGTTTGGCGCTTGACGCGCCAATTTAGGGATGGCAGGTAGATTCGATTTTGCTACGAATTTTAAAATTGGTATGCTGTAATCCGCGTTGCCGTATCGTAATTTCGAAATTCGGGGACCATCTTCGAAATTCGTAATGTTGGTTTGGTATGCCTGAATCCGACGTAGCTGTAATTTGTATGTATTTGTCGGAAATTTTCTACGAAGAGCAACTGGTGTGGGAGCGAAGCGTATTCTTTTAAATTATCAATAAAATAAAGTGTGGAAACGCAAAAATATGTATGTAAGTTGAAGTGTGAATAAAAAACAATGTATTATTAAATGTTTACAAAATTATCAAGTCGACAATCAGAACAAATCCCTCGCAATACGAAAAACTGGTGGAATGCATGAGCGAAAGGCCGGACATTGCCCGAGGCTTTGTAATAGTTAAAGAGGATGTGGTGGAATTTTGGGAAAGCGTTGCAAGATTTAAAGCAACACAATATTTGGTAGAATGGACGCCCTTAAAAAGAGGGAGCATATATTTATCATTTAAGCTAAATGGATCAGAACTGTCTCGTAGCAATCTCCTTTGTATATTAATGCAACAATTGACTGCAGCATGTTCTTCCTCCTGAGACAAAAGTGCACCGGCCACTGAATCCATTCTATTTTACTTAATTAGGGAAAAGCTTTTTCAAATACGATTAAACATTTTTTTTAATTTCACTGTTCACTTGCGATTATATTTATTTTGATTTGTTTCTGTCAAAGCAGCTGATTAAGAACTTCGAATTTCACTATTTTAGTTGGCAACGCCGTTGATAGTTACGATCGGATTACAGCATACCTTTTTTCAAATTTTCGGAACGGAGCTACGAATTCGTAACTACGAACTTTCGGATTACAGCATAGGGGTGAATAACTTTTATAGAAGGTAGTTTCACTTCAAAATTATTGACATAAACCGTGTCTGTGACAAACACGCAATGTGGCCACTGCTACGATAAAGAACTTGGGGGTTATCGCTTGTTATTTTAGATATTTTTTAACAGAACATGTAAAGATTTATATGTTTCATAACTGATCACTTAATGGTGCATTTGAGGGTACGAAAATAAACTATATTGTACGTTACTATTTCGTTTCGTTTATTACTTCAACAGTTCGGTACAATACGAAAACCAAACGGCTGAGTTCACTTTGGCGATAGTACACTACAGTAGTTTAGTAGTTACAGACGAAACAACAAACGAAATGAATCGTGCAGAGAAAAATATATGTATGTATGTACATATATGCAATAACTAAATACAAAACTTATGGCTGCAGTGAATAAAAAAATAAAAATGTTTTTTAATTGAATTGGATATGAAAATTTACAGAAAAAAATATTTTTCACGTAATTGAAACGTACCCTATGGTACAATTGTCACAAACGAAAAGCAAACGTTTCTCGTTGGGGAAAATGATAGTGAATCTAACAATTTGTTTCTGACTATGTACAAAACTGTACAAAACCACAAATGATATGATGATCGATAAGCAAATGGGAATTGTTTTGAACAGTTTATTTTCGTACCCTGGTGCATTTACATGGTATGAATCTGTTCATAAGCCGTATGAATTTTCCTATAAAAGAAGCACCAACTCTATGAAGAAATGAATGAAAGCGATATATATTTAACAATTTTGACTTGTATACTAGACAATATTTTTTTTTGTAAACAACAAATAAAAGAATTTTATTTTGTGCTAGCTTCGAAACCAGAAGCTTATTTTTTTGTTAAATGTGCTTTAAAAAGGACCTACTGCCAATAAAGCCTTGTGGATTGCTATTTTTCCATATTTGTAATGCTTCCATTTAAACATCTTTGTGGAAAAACAGTTTTTTGTTCAGAATTGCTTGTTTACGAAACGTTTGGCATAAGTTGAAATCATAGGGATGCCGTTTTCTTCCGTTTCTCAGTGGATTTTATACTTGAATGGGCACCAAAATATGTATGCAATACTTCTACATATCTTCGTTTAAAGCACAAAACCGCGCATAAAGGAAATGTAAAACCTCGTATGGGAGGTTGCCTAAATTTTAAAAACGGTTCTATCTTTTAAACTTAATAATCTTCTCTCCTTATGTCTAAGTCGATATTTTATTATATCGATATTTTATTATAAATGGCTAAGGGCTTGATGTAAGGAGCTTCCGATGACCAAATATCTTTTTTGGCACAAATTTCTGTTCCGAGGTTTTGCAGAACAACGATACGCGCTTTTGTACTTTAAACGACGAATATGTATATCGCTTGAACAATATGTTAGTGTTTGGCCTAGCTTCTCCTCCGATATGCGGCGTGCGTGATTTTGTCACACAAAGTAAAGGACAGTTTTACGCCGACTCCGAAC